ATAAAATTCCATCGATACGTTTTCCTGCCTTAAGTGGCATTTGATGATATTGGATAAACTGCATTTTATCCGGACCCATACTAAAGTTATGACGTAGACACGCACGTGATAAGAGCGAGGGTGTTCTTGGACGTATTTTCTTCTGTTTAAAGATATTTCTTTTTGCATAATTTGAATGAAACTGAAGAAAAACTATTATCTCGTGTAGTTCTTAGGATTATAAAAAATATGATGAAGAATGCAATTCTTGTGTTACATGCGATGCATTTCTGTATAAATATAGGCAATATTATACAGGAAGTATGCTTCAAAACTATGCAAGGAATGAATAAGAACACGCACGAAGCTATGCAAGAATGACGAGAATTGTATTTAAGATTGTGTAAGGAATAGATGTTGTTCCACTAAAAAATTAAGCAAGAAATGAATAAAATTATTGCAAATCTTGCAAAAAATGGCTAAGTTACCTCAGAAAACATGCGAGGAATCGACCGGATTGGTTAAAACTATGTAAAAATTGGACTGTTATGTGCGAATCTATGCAAAGAATGACTAGATAATGTCAAAAACAATGCTAGGAATACAGAATGTTATGTTAAAGATTATGCAGAGAATGGAGAACAGTAAGTTCAAGATGATGCAAGAAGATTACATAAGATTATAATCTGAAATTTATGCAAAAATATTACGAATTATGCTAGAAACTACGCACTAAACTGCATTTTTCATTATATTAAGAACCCGTGGAATAAGTTCATGCACACGAAGCTAACAATTGTACGTAACAATAGATGATTTATACATAGAAGAGACGTGACAAAGCTATATCCGAATGATTGTGGTTTACAATCCTTTAGACGTTGGCTTAACATAGTCTAAGCATAATTAATGACATTCATGTTAATGACTGACCTTTAAGAATCGATAGTGATGCCAATTAATGTAAGTGACTCTCAGGTATATCATTTAATCTTGGAGGAGCATAATTAATCTATATTAATTAATACAACCGAATGGATACACGATAAACATTCTAATAATACAACTAATCGATAATCGTTGGAGTACGTATACGTGCTACCTTCGTAATAAAAAAACAGTAATGTTAACTGCAGATTATTTAATATTTAGAAAACTACAGTAAATAAATAGGCATGATTAGGGTATATTACCATAGAAGTAGGTATAGGTAATTCTATACATTTAAGAAATTTCATTAGTTTACGTCACACACTATTATGACAATACAAAAAACAAATACTTTTATAGTGTTACACTGCTACTGTAACTAAAAAAACCCCTGGAAGTGTATTTGATATTTATACTAAAACCCCTAAAAATCGAAACTACATTACGTTTTATTACTGTAATAGCGTGGTATTTACTATTACAATAATAAAATAAGTTTGTAAATTGTAGAAACAATATAAAATATTGTTTTAAGTAAGAGAAGAGAGATTATGAGACCATGTTTTTAAATGTATTCTAGGAATTTGAATATTGTAATGGCAGCAATTTTAATTACAATCATTAAACAGCAGAATCTAAATATTTACAGTGAAGTAAAATTATTCAGTTATCAAAATATAAGACACATTTATATTACTAGAAATCACTAGAAACGAATAGAGTTGTCTGCAATCATTTTCAAATTCCTATTTAAACTTTGCTGAGTTCCTGTTTACTTTCATCATTTGTTCTGTCTTTTATCTAAAAATACCTCGTAGAATACGAAATTGTCGATGCTTTTTGAAGAATACACTAAAAAAAAACACTTCGTTCAGAAGATATTTTTATATTATAAATACCTTTAAATTTCTAAATTTAAGTAAAAACTTTAATTAATTCAAATTTTCTGTAAAAAGTGATGTTTTTATATTAAAACTTTATTTTTTTTTATTAAAACGAAGCGTTATATTCTATAATTTTAAGTAAATTTCATTAAATTATCGATTTATAAGACTTTTATATGCAAATTTCCGGTTTATATAATTAAATTTAAACGTTTTTTATATGTTTCTGCATCTAAAAGTTCGTTAAATTATCAAAGAAATTCGAAAATATATAAACTGATTTAATTTTTATGGTTTAAATCGAGAAAATAAAGCTTAAATATAGAACGTGCATCAACGTAATGGAAGAAATTGAAGGAGGGTGGATGCTGTAGTGTAGTGAAAAGACACTTTCCAGTTAAATGTATTTACTTACTTATTGCAAGTACGAAAACTTAATTATCTAAAATAATTCTATAGAATATTCTACCTCATTTGTCAAAGATGTAATACGTCACGAGTTACATAGACCCTCACAAAATGGTGTAAACACTAATTACATACGCCTGATGTCATTCTGGGAATAGTATCAGGTGTATGTGACTAGTGTTTACTTTCATCTTGCCCCACTCCAGAAGCGTATCCAGGTATCATTGAGGGGCATGGAGAATTTGTGGCTGAAATTTCTTGTAAATGAATCCTTAGAATTTAAGTTATAAATGTAAGAGATCTTTGCCCTACACAAAATGTTCTTGTATTTGCTCCTGTTCATCTTGTATTTGCAATCTCAGCAAGGTTCTTAGTTTCGTACTGGAATTTTGCAAAATTTGCAATACTTCTTGCTATTCTATCGATGTTATCCTTCTCGAAAAACTCGTTTTCGAGAAGGATAACATCGTTTTCGTTTTCTTTCTTATTTCATTTTATTCTTCTCTGTTTTCCAGAACAAGTTACATATATCTTCCCATAACCACGCATCTTCTCTAGAGATTTTTTAGAAACATACCTGCAATATATGGATCTAATGCAAATTTTACGTGTTACCTTTACCTCAAACATTTGTTATTAAACATTCAAGGTGGGTGTACTTTACCCTTTCTTCTAAAAATTCAATATTTATTCGTGTTTTTAGAAGCTACAAAAAATCAAAAAACACGCGAATTTTTTAAAAATTCACGTTATAAAGATAAAAAAGTTGAATCAGTTATTAAAATAAGCTATTTTTAGATGAAAAATTGCATTTTTTAGACGATTTTCGCACCATGTTTGTACAATTTAACAGGCAAAAAACTTGAATTTGATGCCATCACTAAACTTTTTGATTTACACTCAAAAAAACTGGCTTCAGATGTTATTCTAATAAAATTTTATCGAGTTTACTATTGAATATATCTAAAACAAACATTAAAATAGAAATATATAATATAATACATATCCAAAAACATCTTGTTCGATAAGCGAGGAGAATTTAATCTACAGTTTCATGTAGGGTTTTAGTGTGTTTTTAGAATTTTGTATACGTTTTATAAGCTTATATTATATAAAAAAATCGTTCTTAAAGGTATAAGCTTTTTATATCTTCTTTATGCAACTTATAAAATGTTATATAACTGCTACAGATATGTATTTTAATGCTATTTTTTCTCCAAACTCTTTACTTTATGGTACTTTATACAGTTTATCCACCTCATAAGTTAAGTATAAAGTAGTCGCATGCAATTTCTACGCTTCCGTCTTCACGGTTAAACGAATTTATCACTTAAAAAATCACGGATAACGAGATAAAGCGCACTTTTCGCTAGTTTACGCACACTTTTGTATAAAGATATACCGGAAAAAACTTGATATTTTTATGTTTTTTAGAACTAAAACGTAAAGTTTATTCATAAAATTTTATTTTTTATACGGTGACAATTTATTTATTTACATATTTACTACGAACTTCGCTGGAGAAGTCACGCATCATCTTAGAAAAATCTACGATGATGCGTGACTTTTCTAGCATTATTTTCTGTAAAGGAAAGTGTATAAAAGGGTAAAAGATCATTTTGGAAGACGTATCAAAGGGGAGATCTTTGATACGTCATCCGGAGTTTAAATTTAATTATATATCGAACCTTTATCGCTTAGGTATTCCCTAAAATCGTTAACTTTATGTAGTTGTAATGAAGTAGAATTATGATCGATCACACTAAGAACACAACACGACACACGAGCATTTATCAAACAATACTTCACGTGATTGTCACACGATAAAAATGGCGCTCGTTTCAAAAAGTTGTCACGAATATCGGAATTAAAGTGAGAAAATCTGCGAAAAAGCCAGGAATTTTTTAGATGGGACGTGTTTTTAAGGAAGAATTTTAAAGTTTTACATCGTTTAATTCTAAAAAATTCATTGTTATGACCTTACAAATTGTAGAAAATGAGTTTTTTTTAAATATGGCCTACATTTTAATGCTTTTAACACACAAAGATGGTACAGTACATTTCTATACTTTCACTACCTTAAAAATGCTGCCATTTAGTGACGTTAATAAAGGTATTGTATCGACTTTTCTAGTATTGTTAACAATTTTAAAATACACTACATTTGTATATTTATTATCACAAATGCGCTGTTTATACGAAAGCTCTCCTCTCAATCATTCACACGTATTGTAAGTATGCAAATTACGAGTCAACTGACACGATTCACAGTCCACGAAGCCATCACACAGGGAGTAATCCATCACGAATAACAAGTTAAACACTTATTTAGTTATTGTACGACGTCACGTGTATTCACAAAGGAATGTTACGAATCGATTGATACTTTATGTTAGTGTCCAAAAGTATAAAAATGACCCTCTTAATCTCGTGTGTTGATGACACTAACATATAAGAGTTCCGGTTGAATTTCTAAAAGAGGTTGAAACCATTCCAAGCGAAAGATTTGGCGCCAATGCCATCGATCGCAAACAACCTTGTGGTTTTGGTTAAGGACAAACCACCTGGATGACGAAAATTCAACGTTTAAATACACACACACACAAAAAAAAAACATTCCCTTAAAAAAAATCCCCCTCTTATGCAAATTAATGCTAAAAATGCATAAATTCTAACCGTGATTTTGCATTATGCTGTAGATTTTTGACACGAGTTGCATCAAAAAATCACTTCTAATTTACATAAATTATGCTAGTTTTTTTTATTTATTTTAACATAATTTATGCTTACTCTTCGTATTTCCGATGCTATTTTCCTCTTCCTCTTCTCCATCTTCTCTTAAACGTAATCGTTTCTACGTGAGAATAATTACTTTTACTTATAAAATTGTATATTTTTAAATCTATAAATTACTATTTTATAATAATTTAAAGATAATATACCTAAATTATTAACGTAATAACTTAAAAACAATTACGTAGCGAATATAGGTAGTAATTTTTTTTGTTGTTATTGTAAATATAAAAACATCATTAATAAATAAATAAATATAGAAATTACTATTTGTTAAACCTTAAATTTTCTAATAATAAATGAAATTTCAAATTACCAAAAAACATTATTATAAAATTTCAAATTTCTTCAGAATTTCCAAACAAATTTTCAAAGATTCTTTTCTAATTTCTGAAGCATCATCTAAAGATATCGATTTTCCAAAAAATTCTCTTGATTCTTTAGAAAATTTATGATTCTCGAAGGCTGCGAACAGCTTCCAACAACTAAATTGTAAAAAAATTTTCAGGATATCCTTTGCATTTTTATAAAATCCTTGCCTAAACTTAAGAATCTTAGATACTTTGTTGCTCTATTGGAGAAGCTGGATAAGGAAGCTGGATTTATGGATTTATAAGCTAAAATTCTAAAAAAAATGTAGTTAAAACTTCAAAAAAATCAAACTTAGAAATATAATTAAATATATACTAATTAATTATAAGATTATTCTCTAAGATTCTTGTAATTCTTGAAGTATCTAAACATCACCTAGAAGATATCGATTTTCCTGAAATCTCTTGATTTTTTACAAAAATTTATGATTCTTAAATGTTCCAAAGATCGTAAAAACTCATTTTATTAACTAATTCGACAGAAATCTTTGCAGTTTTTTTAAAAAAATACAGAATTTTAATTGTTTCGTTGCTGTAAAATCAATTAAAAAAGCTGGATAAACGAATCCAATTTAAGAATTTATAAGTTAAAATTCTAAAAAGAATACTCTAAACTTCATAAAAGACAATCTAGGGATGTAATTAAGTATTAAATAAGTTGTTTAATTGGAAAATAATGAACATCTTTAACTTACAATCAACCATTCGTTAAACATAATTCAATATTTATGCAGCTTATGTAAGAATGCTTCTATGTTTATGAATAAATCAACAATTCTATCATCGTAAATAATTAAATTCCTTTATTAAATGATATAATAATAAATAATTAACGATAAAACATGATTAATTTTTAATTTATATTCGATTTTATTTAATAACTTATTAAATAATTTATTATTGTTCTCTGATGTAAAGAGAATATGAATAATTGCGGATGTAAAATTAACACGTAAAAAAACATTAATTTTCTCATTTAATTAATATAATATTATAACTATGAACGAAAAATTAAATATTTTAAATGTCTAATTAAATAATTAAAATATAATTTAATTAAAATTATGTACTGGTTTCAAATTATTTCTTTACGAAATTATGGAATTTGTGTGTATTCTAAGCTCGTTTTGTTGCTCGCTTAACGTTGAAAAAGTAGTTAAATTTCTTTTTTCGACGTTAAAATTAAACGAATATTAAGTTGTGAAATATAAAGAAGAAAATTTGGAATCATTTTCATAAAATATGAATTGAAATATCAAAAAATCGAATCTTTTCTTAAAGAATTGCATCATGCTCCGCACCATTTACAAATGATGCGGAGGATAAAGCGATGGAAAAAAGAAGTATATAAATATTGGAATGATGACAACTAACGATATGAAAAATGATAGAATGTGACTAGGAAATTACAATTTCCTATACAGGTGGATAACAGGAAATGACAGTTGGCCGCATGAAAAGAATCACGTGTAACACTATCACAACCAAACTATTTAATCTGAATCGCATGAAGTGAATGCTTTTTCATATTTTATCCGTGTGTAAATCTGATATTTTTTGATTGATTAACGTGCAACCTTCAGTTATTCGGCCACCGAATCAATGTGCATTACTCTTACAAAAAGTCGATAGGTGCCAATTCCAATATGGCGACCGCGATCATAAATCTATTCTCGATACACGACAATAACAAAAAAGTATATAAAAATAAGTATACTTTTTATATTTAGCTGAAGGATAAGTTCTGAAAAACGTATTCGTTGATTGGTGGAGAGGTATTTATATAATCCTTTCAGTGGAAAGGAGGGACATATGAAATTAAAGCTGTCTTTCCGCGCCTAGAAGTGTATTTAATTAAGTAGCTTTTTTAGAAGAAGGAGCCAAAATTGGTTCAAATTCAATAAAAATCACTTGTCGTCTTGGCATTCGTTGAACTATCAAGTAATATTTACGCCATTAATCTTAGATACATTCGCTTATCGATCTCTTTCAGTAAAGCCACTTAAAAATAGAAAGAAAAAGTAAAGCAGAAACATAAATTTTACAAAATAAATGGATAAGTTACTTATCCCAATGTCCCACCTTTCAAATGATTAAAATGTTTTCCACCTTAACAATATAGATACTAGTATCTAGTACATAAATCTAGACAGCTAACAGCTTCTGGTACGCTCTACTTGTTAGAGGATTGAATAAAGTTGATTCCCTGACTTGATATCCCAAGGGTAGGATACACATTTCCTAGTTTAATGTACCTGCTGTGATGAGATGATGTGGACGACTATTCAAAATTCTACCTACTGTCAACTTACACTTTGAAAATCCACTTTACTTCACGCCCACGTCGTATATTTCCCTATATTTTATACTCTATATGTGTTTACTTTTTGAAAGTATGTATATGTAATTAAATTTTTAGGAATTTATGTTATAAAAGTAATAAATCTTCAAAACGAAACTGAATAAATTAGTGAACGTTTCGGTTTTATTCGTTTGTTTTCGTGGTTTTTAGAAAATNTGATGAGATGATGTGGACGACTATTCAAAATTCTACCTACTGTCAACTTACACTTTGAAAATCCACTTTACTTCACGCCCACGTCGTATATTTCCCTATATTTTATACTCTATATGTGTTTACTTTTTGAAAGTATGTATATGTAATTAAATTTTTAGGATTTTATGTTATAAAAGTAATAAATCTTCAAAACGAAACTGAATAAATTAGTGAACGTTTCGGTTTTATTCGTTTGTTTTCGTGGTTTTTAGAAAATATTCGCCATGTTTTTGTTTTTTATAAGTGTTTTTTTATTATGCCTCTTGTTTTAATCATTTTATATTAAATTTAAAGAATATCTTTTAGACTTATTATTAATTCATGAAGATTTTTACATGTTTACATTTGAATTTTCTGACTTTTCTTGTTTATATTTCACTCGATTTCACTTTTTCTATGGTGAAATTCTTGTTTTTTCCCTTTGTATTATTTTACTCATTTCTTTACTTCAAACTCGGACATAATCATTTCCAGTTTTTTCAGAGTGGAAATTTTATTTTAAAAAAATATTTGCTGTTTGGTAGCAAACCTATTTTCTATTTATTTCTTTTTGTTTTGTTCTCTAGTTGTACTCAATTTTTCTTTCTAGTTATCCATTCTCAAATATCCACTAATATAAATTTTATATTTTCCAGTGATACCTATTATTATTGTATAATTACGCGTAGTTTCCGACTGAACTACCATCTCATTACCAATAATATCTACTTTCTCATCTGTTTACTGATGGTGTTGCACCTCTTCCAGTCGCTCCTAAGTTTTTTTAACTATTACAGTCTATTTTCCCACCTCTTCTAACTATACCTACTTCAGTGTTTTATAATTATACCTATTTCTCTTAGCTGTATACCTACATCTTCGTTTTCTTTACCTCTTCCAAGTTTCTGTTTACTAATGGTATATGCTTTTTCCCCATCTAGTCCAATTGTATCAACCTTTTAAAATGTTTTTCTATGATAAAAATGAATGACCAATCTTTCCTTAAAAATATAGCCAATTTTCCTCACCTCTTTCACTGCACCTACATCTTTATGTGTCGATATTACATCACTTTCCTCACTTTTTAACTGCATCTACAGTACATCTGTTCACTGTTATCTATATATTTTTTTAAATTTTAGAAATAGGTATTTCATTTTCTTATTTTTCAGTATCATTTATACCTACTTATCGTTTATTTCAGTCATTTCACTGTTTTAATAATAATAAATTAAATATATCAACAGATGGAAATGCATATATTATTTGCCATGATTTGCATTTCCCAGTTAATGGCATTCAATAATTCAGAACTAATTGTCCTTAATTCATAAACATTATAAAGTGTACAAGCTCTTTAATACCTAACGTAGAGCCCTGTTTACTTTAGAAATTATGCACTGTAACGTTGAGATAATGTACAGAGTACATACTTTACAAATGTAAACAATACGTCTAGTAATACTTTGCTTACTTAACTAATAAATTTAGTTATTCTAGAATTAGTAATTTTGAGAATTTAACTGAATATAGGATTTATAACGTAAAATAAAACTTAATTAAATATATTTAAATTGTTTAAATTTAATTTTTTTCCATAATAAGGTTAGAGGTACTTCATTTCTCTAGTTTAATACCATTAAAATGTATTTAAATCAGTATTTATAATTAAAATTATGTAAAGTACACTCATCTAACTGTCATAAATTGTTAGAAAGAGCAATTTTGTGAACAATAAATGCATTTTTATATTTGATTTCGTATACGAAATCACTTTAAAACCGTTTTAAAGATTTATATCTTTTATACTCCCGCATTTTAATTATTTTAAAGCAAAATTGATAAGTTGTTTCAGGTACTATATTTAAACCCGTGTCGTAAAGATTTATGATTTATGTTGTACGTTCAAGCGAGATATCGTAGGAATTATTCATATAGAGAGATTGAATTACTAATCTTCTGGTTTAGGTAAGGCCAAAAAATTTATAGGCGTGGCTGCTTCGTATGAAGAATAACGTACCCTAACGCTTAACGTGGTGTTGAATGTATAGGGCATTATTTCCGCATGCAATACTTTGCTTAATAGTTTGTTAGTGATCAATGAAAATTGATAAAACAGTAAGCGGCACTTGTTTGTATTGAGAATAAATATAGTGAAAAACATTCATGTATTGGTGATAAATGTAGTAAGCAGCACTGTTATTTCAATAGAGTGTGTTGTAAGCAGCACTGATACTTTTATAGATGGTGTAGTAAGCATTACTGTTATTTCACTACTGGATCAATGTAATAAACGGCAGTGATGTCAAATACAGTAAGCAGCATTGTACAGTACTGTACTGTGTAGTGTTGTGCAGTGATTCCTTGACAAGTGGTGAATGCAGTAAGCGGCTTCTATACGTTATTAAAATTAATAAAGAGCAACACAAATACTCTATTATTTATTAATAACTCAATTTAATCTTCAGCGGGGATTTTTGCAAAATAATACTTTAATTATTATTGTTAAAATAAATTATTAAAAGACTTTATTAATTCAACTTACACTTTGAAAATCCACTTTACTTCACGCCCACGTCGTATATTTCCCTATATTTTATACTCTATATGTGTTTACTTTTTGAAAGTATGTATATGTAATTAAATTTTTAGGATTTTATGTTATAAAAGTAATAAATCTTCAAAACGAAACTGAATAAATTAGTGAACGTTTCGGTTTTATTCGTTTGTTTTCGTGGTTTTTAGAAAATATTCGCCATGTTTTTGTTTTTTATAAGTGTTTTTTTATTATGCCTCTTGTTTTAATCATTTTATATTAAATTTAAAGAATATCTTTTAGACTTATTATTAATTCATGAAGATTTTTACATGTTTACATTTGAATTTTCTGACTTTTCTTGTTTATATTTCACTCGATTTCACTTTTTCTATGGTGAAATTCTTGTTTTTTCCCTTTGTATTATTTTACTCATTTCTTTACTTCAAACTCGGACATAATCATTTCCAGTTTTTTCAGAGTGGAAATTTTATTTTAAAAAAATATTTGCTATTTGGTAGCAAACCTATTTTCTATTTATTTCTTTTTGTTTTGTTCTCTAGTTGTACTCAATTTTTCTTTCTAGTTATCCATTCTCAAATATCCACTAATATAAATTTTATATTTTCCAGTGATACCTATTATTATTGTATAATTACGCGTAGTTTCCGACTGAACTACCATCTCATTACCAATAATATCTACTTTCTCATCTGTTTACTGATGGTGTTGCACCTCTTCCAGTCGCTCCTAAGTTTTTTTAACTATTACAGTCTATTTTCCCACCTCTTCTAACTATACCTACTTCAGTGTTTTATAATTATACCTATTTCTCTTAGCTGTATACCTACATCTTCGTTTTCTTTACCTCTTCCAAGTTTCTGTTTACTAATGGTATATGCTTTTTCCCCATCTAGTCCAATTGTATCAACCTTTTAAAATGTTTTTCTATGATAAAAATGAATGACCAATCTTTCCTTAAAAATATAGCCAATTTTCCTCACCTCTTTCACTGCACCTACATCTTTATGTGTCGATATTACATCACTTTCCTCACTTTTTAACTGCATCTACAGTACATCTGTTCACTGTTATCTATATATTTTTTTAAATTTTAGAAATAGGTATTTCATTTTCTTATTTTTCAGTATCATTTATACCTACTTATCGTTTATTTCAGTCATTTCACTGTTTTAATAATAATAAATTAAATATATCAACAGATGGAAATGCATATATTATTTGCCATGATTTGCATTTCCCAGTTAATGGCATTCAATAATTCAGAACTAATTGTCCTTAATTCATAAACATTATAAAGTGTACAAGCTCTTTAATACCTAACGTAGAGCCCTGTTTACTTTAGAAATTATGCACTGTAACGTTGAGATAATGTACAGAGTACATACTTTACAAATGTAAACAATACGTCTAGTAATACTTTGCTTACTTAACTAATAAATTTAGTTATTCTAGAATTAGTAATTTTGAGAATTTAACTGAATATAGGATTTATAACGTAAAATAAAACTTAATTAAATATATTTAAATTGTTTAAATTTAATTTTTTTCCATAATAAGGTTAGAGGTACTTCATTTCTCTAGTTTAATACCATTAAAATGTATTTAAATCAGTATTTATAATTAAAATAATGTAAAGTACACTCATCTAACTGTCATAAATTGTTAGAAAGAGCAATTTTGTGAACAATAAATGCATTTTTATATTTGATTTCGTATACGAAATCACTTTAAAACCGTTTTAAAGATTTATATCTTTTATACTCCCGCATTTTAATTATTTTAAAGCAAAATTGATAAGTTGTTTCAGGTACTATATTTAAACCCGTGTCGTAAAGATTTATGATTTATGTTGTACGTTCAAGCGAGATATCGTAGGAATTATTCATATAGAGAGATTGAATTACTAATCTTCTGGTTTAGGTAAGGCCAAAAAATTTATAGGCGTGGCTGCTTCGTATGAAGAATAACGTACCCTAACGCTTAACGTGGTGTTGAATGTATAGGGCATTATTTCCGCATGCAATACTTTGCTTAATAGTTTGTTAGTGATCAATGAAAATTGATAAAACAGTAAGCGGCACTTGTTTGTATTGAGAATAAATATAGTGAAAAACATTCATGTATTGGTGATAAATGTAGTAAGCAGCACTGTTATTTCAATAGAGTGTGTTGTAAGCAGCACTGATACTTTTATAGATGGTGTAGTAAGCATTACTGTTATTTCACTACTGGATCAATGTAATAAACGGCAGTGATGTCAAATACAGTAAGCAGCATTGTACAGTACTGTACTGTGTAGTGTTGTGCAGTGATTCCTTGACAAGTGGTGAATGCAGTAAGCGGCTTCTATACGTTATTAAAATTAATAAAGAGCAACACAAATACTCTATTATTTATTAATAACTCAATTTAATCTTCAGCGGGGATTTTTGCAAAATAATACTTTAATTATTATTGTTAAAATAAATTATTAAAAGACTTTATTAATGAATTAAATAATTAAAATTTTCTTAACAAAGAAAAAATATACTTTAATAAACACCATCAAAGCTAGAAGGGAAAATTAAAAGCGAGCACTTTTAAAAATTAATATGTAAAAAATAAAAGAAAATCAACTTTTTGCCTTTTTATTTTTAATTTAATATCTTACAAATATAATTTCATTTTATCACTAAAAAGAAAATAAATTAAACTTAAAAAATTCACAAAATAATTCAATTATTATTAATTATTTAATAAGTAAATATTTAAAAAGTGCTATTATATTATTTTATTTCATTATTAAAAATAAAAAGTCTCGTCCAATAAAGATTTATTTATTGTGCTATACATGGCTTACACAGATAACGTGTCTCAAACATATCCTACAGCATATACAAAGCTTATTTTTTTATTATATTATAAATTTTACAAGATAAAAGCTTTAAAATTATATATATATTCTAAATTATCCTTATGTTATGTAAGAAACTAAGGATTTAAAAGAAAAACTATTTCAATTCTTCTGATTGATAAATTCGTCTTGCATTTATAGAATTATGAGAAAAGACATGTCTGGTTTCCTTCCATCAAACAAAATAAACTATAAAACAAAGATAAATGGATTCTGATAGTAAATGTAAAATATAAAAGCTTTATTCTTTGACAGAAAAGTTAGTTTCTGAAAAAAATTTATAGATACAAGAGAATAAATTTAACTCATTAAATATTTTATATTTAGATAATAAATCACAAAATATTGATTATATTATGCAGATAATCATCTTTTGTTAATAATATATCATAATTTTATTGAAAAAACAAGTTAAATTTTTAATTTGAAAGTTTTTAGTTCGTCATTTAGAATAACATTTGAAGCACTTTATAAATCGAACAATCCTTTCAGCTAATTGGTTAAAATTTCAAAATACGTTTTTGAATTGTAGCCAATAAGCTGAAAGTAATTGAAAGAAAAAAACTTTTAATCTTTTTCAAATTCTAGCCAATGATGGATAAAGCATTTTTTTTCCAAAAAAAAGTTTAATATAACGTAATTTTTAATTCGTATTTTCAAAAATTCGAACTTTTTTTAATATCTTTTGAACGGTATTTTAAAATTTTTGCTGGTTTTTCTGGATGAAATTTTGCCTAATGACGTGTAGAATATATGCAGAAATATAAATTGTTAGAGCTGTCTGGAAGATTAAAAGTAGCTTTAATGGTTCCTATTTTTTCATCAAACTTATTGTAGATATTAAAATCAATATATTAAGCGTGTTTAAAATATCTAGTAGCAATTTCGACCATGTTTATCATTGAAAAAAAAATTATATTTTTAAACATTTTTTGAAGCATTCTTAAAATATTGAGGCTATTGAAGATCAACTGTGGTGTATTTAAGCATTGTTGATGTATTTATTTAATTATTTTTGTTGATATAAGGCATCTATTGAGGTATTTTTCGAGATCACACAGAAGTTTATCGTCTTTGTCTTTGAATTCGGCACACATATTTACTTATTTAAGTGTCTTACAATTGAGAAATTAATATTAAATTCAATTAATATAAAAAAAGCCATAAAATATTTATTTTTATAATTATTAAAATAGTGTCTATTGCCTCGGAGCGAAAATCTTTATCGTGTTTTTTCAATTATCGAAAATATTTGTACAAACAGTTGCTAAGAAATACCATTTCAGTAATGAAATTAACAGGGGTATGAGGAATAAAATCAGTGATGCGATAAATCGAATTATATTTTATTAATATTTATATATATATTTTTAATCCGTAATAAATTATATTTAAAAACTTTATTAATAATTATAATAATTGAAATAAAATTATCGCGTGTTTCTGCTTCGTGAAGCGATGTGTAACTGTCACGTTTTTAACCATTTGTTTTATTTTAAATCAAATTAAATTTAAAGGAATTATTGTATTTTAGATCTATTTAGGCTTTCTAACTTCGTTCTTTCAATAAAAAGTAGTTTCTTTTTTAATTTAAGTGAGAAAAAGTTGTCCAATGTTCAACTTCTCACCAGTGTAATGAAATTTGAGACGATGTTAAGAGGTCAAGGAGGGTTGTTTCTTACAACAAATTCAGTTAGGATTGTTTACTTAATGATAGACTTTGCGTCAGATGGTTGCACTTATTCAATGATAATCGAGTGTTTTTTTTAAACAGGGAGTTTTATATACTGTATATAAATCTCAATTTACTATCTACAACAGCAGCAATAATTTGGTACGAGTATGTGTTAAAATGAATGTCTTTCTATTTTAGGAAGTCGAGCATTGATCCATTGAGTTGCTTAGCTTCACAGATACTAAGACATTAATTGAATTCTTTGCTAACAGATTGCATTGTCATACTCAGAAATATTGGCAAGGTTACTCACATTTTTCTAAATTTAATAATAGTATCAAGGACATTGTTGCTCACAAGAAAATTTGTTTGTTGTTTGAATAAATTTATTTTATTGTGTAGTTTTTTATCATATTAATTTCTCAACACACCCATCGACAAAGAATCTATGTCTACAGCTACGTGTCAGACAGGTATGTAAATGATTATAATTGTGTCCGGATCGTGTGCCAAGCAATGCCACCAGAATGTCTTGAATTGCTACTTCTGTGATCTATAAAAAGGCTCGATGTGCCTGTTGTTTGAAGGTCTTCAAACACTAGGCACGCCTGGTATTCGAGTTTTTAATTTGTTGAACAACTGTAAAAGAGTCCTCATCATCGAGAGAAGCTGTTTTGTCGAAAGTCTCATTACAGAACCCTGTTACTTTCTGTACCATTGGCAAAGGATAGTAGAGGTAAATTTGCGCACCCAGCGACCTCTACGCGTCACTCCATTAGCATCCCAACATTCACGCTTTCTTTGAATGGGGATGACCACCGGTGAACACTTCAATTCCGATTTTAGTGCAGAGTGGCACACTGTCCTCACTGCTGGTTTGCTATTCTGGGAACCACCTCATGTGGCAGCCTATTAGTCACTCCTGGTTGTAGTCACAGACTACTAGTGTCAATCCTAATAATAGGTCAAAGAACAATGACGGCACATAGGGTACTGTATGTTCAGAAAATTCTTTTACAATAGGACTGCAAACAGTAGTTTTACAGCAAGTTAATGATCAGACACATAACCGGAATTGCCCAGGAATGTCTCCATTACGTTGTCACGTAATGGAGACATTCCTGGCTACTCCATCTCCAAATTTGTTGTCCACCGAGCATTTATCGGACCAAACGTGCATTACCTCCAGTTATCTAACAGTGTGAGGAATTATCCGAATATATGCACAAGTAAAAGTCACTTTACCAGGTACCGCGCCCTACAGTAGAATTACAGTTTATGGTAATTTTTCGCTCTTTTCTACTCAGATTTACTAGTTTTACTACGGCAAAAATGAAGAAGCTTACATAATAATGAAATTTTTATGTTAAATTACGTTTTCCATGCTATTTTAGCTATTTTCTTTAAATAAAGTAGAGATGTGACTGATTCAGAATTATGCATTTTATGCTAATTTATTAACATTAATGCTATTTAGACACTAATAATGTCAAAGAATGTGTATGATACATACGTTTTTATGTCATTACATACCAGTTATACACAAAATTAAGCAATTACTACAGTAATTTTGATTACGGTTTTTATTGAATTTATGACTCAATTTTTCTTTCTTAAAGTGTATTCTCCCTTTGGTTATGACATTTTCTTGATTGAATTTCCACTTTTCTTTTATGTAGACAGTTTTTCAGAATTGTTTTATTTTTCTCACTATTATTTAATTTCTATAGACGTAGTAAATTAGTTGAAATATCCGGCTTCGCTCGGGAAAATGATATAAGTAAAGGCAGTATAAAAATATGTATGTGGAAAAAGAACTTATGCACAGTACTTATATTAAAATTGATCCGACCAGAAACAATCTTACATCGAAATTTACTCTAAATACATTATATAGCCCGAGAAAGATTAAGAACATTTTCGAAGAGACAGACAGACAGACGTAAATTGGAAAGTAGTTTATATCCTTCTCAGGACTATCCTAAATATATGTACAAAGTTTCATAGAAATCGGTTGACGTGATACTTGAACAAATGGACAGACAGGCGTGAATTCAATTATATACTGTATACATAGACACGTTATGAATATGGAAACAGTTTATACACGTGGGATTATTATGACTTTTCTGCAATTCTTAAGAAAAAATATATATTTCATCAACTAATTTGATGCTGTAACGGTACCATTGTAACTGTAGCACCATTATTAAGTTACTCCAGTAATAATTTATTCGATTTTATAGTCATTAACCAATTTATTGGATAATTACTGAAAAAATTACAAATTTGCAAAGAAAAAACGGCGTATAAATCAATTCAGCTTAAATAAATCGATTTTTATCGTTCAAAGCTTTAATAATTACTTTGTTACTATAGCAGTAAGCTCCTTAAGAACGAAGCAATTACTGTGTAACGAACGGATCTACAGAAATTGTTTGTGTGTTATTCACAATTTCCGATATCTTCTCGGTAAAAAAAGAAAGTAAACAAATAAATAAAATTGATTTTTAATTATCAACAATAAAACTCGATTGGGTTTTACTTACTTTTAACTCGATTAATTTTAATTAAATAGAAAAATTTTATCTCACGATACAACTAAAAGAAAAGTTTCTTCATTAACTTCACCATTAACTTTAACATACAGGAAAAAAAGATCGATAATAAATTAAATTTTCTATTTTTAACAAGGTAAAAATTACTTTTAGTCATTGATTTTGAATGGTGAAGAAATGTTAAACCGTGCGTAATCCGAAAGTAATATCCTTTCATTTATTGACAGATTTTTGGTTAATTTTGTTAACAAAGCAGTACTTAACCTCTCGAACCGCGTAACGAACTTCTCGACTTACACTCATTACCTAAAGATATCGAGATGTTACCAACGTAACAAGCGAAAATTTTAATTAAAACTCAAATAACGTGTTGAACTCCATCGATTTAACCAAGCAAAATCTTAATATTTTCCTTTTTTTTTATCCGAGGATTAAATTTAAATCGAAGCAAAGGGGGAGGAGTAAAAATAAGAGATTCTAGTTTTTATTTACTATTACAGAGTTAAAACGATTGAATTCTGTATGTAGCAATTACTTGGCAAAGTTGCAAAAGACAAACATAGGATTTAGCAACATTAATATCGAGAGAAGTCGGGATTAAAATGATTTTAAAACTAGTTTTAGTTGTGTTAAGTGTGTGTGTAGAGGTGCTCTGCTGGTCACGTGATCCGACTGCAAGTTAATCTCTAGTGTCAACATTGAAGTAGACGAGTGGCTAGTCTTTTATTTCCATATCTCACACTGGTTAGAATCGTTCCAGTTGTGTCAATAGTACACCCTTACCTTCTTTTCTCACTTTACAATTTGTTCTTTTTGGAAAAAATCCAAACAGAAAAAGTGAAAAAATACTTCATTTTGCTCTTAAAGATAAATTTTTCATCAAATTTTTTATATTTGAAGTAATTAAGATTCACTTGTTTCTTCTAAACACGAAACGAATTTCAGATGGCTTCATTCTTTAAAAATAATCAGATAATTCGCGTCATATATTAAGAAAATTCATCAAATTATTTTTAGCATCCAAAACCTCTTCTAATTTATAAGTTTTAATTAAAGATTATACGTGGACCACTCGTATAGACCAAATTTTTGGATGTCCTTAACGATTCCAAAGTTACCTTACTACTTTATAAATTACAAATTTAGCAACAAATTAGTTGTAAAAATAGAAAAATAATATGTGAAATAGTCGCTAAACCATCTTTAAATCGGTAAAAAGCTAATAATTCTGATTTCGAATTTATAATTAAATTACATATGTTCATAGTTTGGCAAGTATCCATTATTTTTTCATTAATTTGCATTCATTTGCGTTATCGTCGACTTTAGCTTTGCTATATCAGAATATTTAAATTAAATGCTTGGTGTGGAAACAATTAGATTTTCTCTATAATATATATTAGAAGGCATTTAAGAACAACTTCTATATTAATTTCCGTTTCCGGTAACGGGTTGAGTTGAAAGTGATTAGGTATAATGGTTGCAAGATATGAAATTTGTTGCTGTGTTTTAAAACATATTTTCACTTATAAGAATATACTCTACATTCGACTACTGATTACTTAATTAGTTACACTTGCATTTCTTTTATCACGCTGGAAACGATAGCTTCGTACGTAATTCGCATGAACACAGGAAACACTACCCATTCATTCAGTGTTTTTTCTATAGAAACAAACCTCTACATAAACATCCCCATGTTGCACACACACGTACACAATAACCTCTACACGCCTATAAACTTGCAGAATTACACAAATATCTTCACATTATATATAAACTTTCTTTACCTAGTTTTGAGCGTACAAAAATTAAGTTACACGCATAAATGCCCGATGCTACGGAATTTCTTTATCTTCCTGAAATTACGTTTTGTTGTTGTGAACCCGATCAACGAACCGACAAGAAAGTTAACTCCATTCGTTTAATGGACTTAATCCCACGTGAATGGATCGAATAACGTCACGCTCTCGATTTTCAGCGCATTATATAGAAAAGTTTCGGCTGGAATTCAAGTTTATATATTAAATCTAACCAGATCAATTCTAGAAGTATTAAGAAATCTTCAGTTCTTACAACTAATTCTAAACTAATCACTTCTGAATCTCGGTTAATCCTAGCTCTTACAGCCTTATCACTTATAAGGTAATACTTGTTTTTGTAAGTACTTATAAATATAACCTACAAAATAAAATGCCCATACAAATTCTCATATATTCAACGCATCATTTAAGACACGAAGTAATAATAAGTTAATTTTGCGCAAAAAATTAAAAAAACAAATTTGCGACTCTTTACTAATAGCCATTTTTAATCGGCGAATAAATAATATTAAACAAATAACAGACAGTATATATAAGAAAGTGGAAAAATATTTTTGCTCTGATTGTCAGGCTCCACTGCAACACTTTCCTCTGTTACCTTATGTTCTTTCAGCCATTGACTTATATCGAATAAAACAGTAGAAAATGCCATTTTCTCGTAAATATCTTCTACTTTTAGTTTGTTTTTATCTCAAACTGCTTATTAAAAATTATAGTTTAATTGAGTTAGAGCTAGTTTAAATGTATATGACAAAATACCTGTATAAAAATACTAATTTATGTAATTTCTTTACAGCTTCTTTGATAAATCTACACAGCAATATCAAGAAAAAATGACGGACTCAACAACTAGACTATTCTCTGACATCAAATCGACTCAGTCGTGGCTACAAGTGAATGACACTACGTCTCCGGTTAACATCACCCTGTTTGACATGTTGAACCTTTCTAACACTACCGATAACAACATGGGAGATGATTTAGTTAGAAAAAGAAGTACGGCAGAGATCATCATATACGGATTTGTTGCAGGATTGTTGAGTTTGTCCACAGTCTTGGGCAACGTCATGGTCATGATATCTTTCAAGATGGACAAACAGTTGCAGACCATCAGCAACTACTTCTTACTTAGCTTAGCAATAGCGGACTTCTCTATAGGGCTCATTTCTATGCCCCTGTTCACTTTGTATATTTTATACGAAAAATGGCCACTGGGACCTTTCATTTGTGACACATGGCTAGCTATTGACTACCTCATTAGCAATGCATCTGTTCTTAACTTGTTGATCATTAGTTTCGACAGGTACTTCTCCGTGACGAGACCTTTAACGTATAGAGCTAAAAGGACAACTAAAAGAGCAGCTTTTATGATAGCTTCTGCTTGGGTCATAAGTTTGGCACTTTGGCCCCCGTGGATATATGCTTGGCCTTATATTGAAGGTTCCAGAAAAGTTAAAGCAGGTATGTGCTACATACAATTTCTAGAAACGAACCCTTTCGTTACTTTTGGTACTGCTATAGCAGCCTTTTATGTACCCGTTACTGTTATGTGTGCTTTATATTATAAAATTTGGCAAGAGACAGAAAAGAGGAAAAAGGAGTTGACTCATCTTCAAGCTGGAAAAAAAGAGGGAAGCAAAAACTCTACCTCTAGTGACGACCCCCAAGAGGAGGAGGAGAAAAAGAAAAGGAGTTACTCGTGTGTGCCAGATGATACCACTTATGTACCAACGTCATTATATGTACCGAATGTACAGAAGTCACGTACGCAACGTTTAAAGGAGAGACTTTTCACTTTGTGTCGTTTGGATAAAGACACGGATGGTGGAGAGGAAGATAGCACCAGTCACGGTTCTCAAGGCGCCATAACACCCGCTTCTGTAGAAACGCCTATTCAGTCTTCTTCCAGAACTACTTCCATCACTTTCAAACCCGAACAGATACACACCATCAAACGAGCGGATGCTGTAGCACTGGAAGACCGAAACGGCCCTAGAAGGCCGGATTCGGTGCCATCTACATCTAGAGCACCTCCGCATTCCATCTCTTCAGATTCAGTGTATACGGTGCTGATCCGACTGCCTCAACAGCCATGTGCGGGTGAAGAAGAGTCGCCAGCATCCATCAAAATGATCTTAGAGGAGGAAGACACTGTAGCGGAAACAAAAATGCAACCTACAAAGAGATCAGAAAGCTCCGGAGGAATCAGCAAACACACAGAACCACATTCTAGACAAGGTTCATTAAGATTACGAGAATCTGCCATAGAGACATTGAGACTACCACTCAACGCCAAATTGGTACATAAGCAAATGGCTAAACATCGCGGACCAAAGAAGAAAAGAAAACAACAAGAGCGTAAGCAAGAGAAAAAAGCAGCCAAGACTCTGAGTGCCATTCTGTTTGCATTCATTTTAACATGGACACCTTACAACGTCTTGGTACTTGTGAAAACCATAATTAAGTGTGAAGAATGTATATCTGACACATTATGGAATTTCGCTTATTATCTTTGTTACATTAACAGTACGGTTAATCCGCTCTGCTATGCACTTTGCAATGCAAATTTCAGAAGGACTTATATTCGAATTCTTTCTTGTAAATGGCACAATGAGAGAAGACATCTTGCTAATCACGGTTATTTTAGCTGAGTAAGAAGTTTTCATCAAATTAGAAAAATTTTCTTATTAATTAATAATATATATGTCTATATGTTCGTATGTAAGCACTGTGTGTTAGTAATAGCGGGTACAATAGAGCGTAAACACAATCATAAAAGTTGATGCACCTATCGTCATTTTTAACTATTTATTTTCTTTCTTAAAAATCACAAAAACCAACATTTCTTTCGCTAATTTTCAAAATTCATATTCACATTATGCAAAAAATTACAGTGATAAGTGCGTAAAACTATGGCACCATACTCAAGGAGGTGTTCTTTTTTGGACTCAAAAATTTACAGTAAATTGCGATTCACACGGTGCGATTTTCGTTGCCGCAACATAAACGGTAAAATCAGCAACGAAGCCGAACTTATTCGAAATTTTGATGTGGTTCAGAACGGTAAATTTATGTTTAACGCAGGTTGTTCGGCTTCTCTGCTTGTAGGTTGCACAGAAATTGCATCGTGTGAAACGAACATAACGGTTGCAGGAGGACAAAATTCGGCATCTAGAGTTAGAAAAGATGGTGCAAAATCGTAGCAAAATTCACAATAATTTTGCTACATCGCTATATTCTTAATCAATAGTTGTGTGTTACGTGTACGTATCGCGATTACAATTTTTAAAAACTCGAAGGAATGCTCACTTAATACGAAAAATATCCCCTCGTTTTATGAGTTAAAATATCAAATTTACTGAATAATTTATTTTAAAAAAAACAGTATATTTGCATTGCTTGTATCAGTATTAGAATTAAAGAAAAATGTTCAAGTTTATGTTTTTAAAATCCAGTTTTCCAAAAAGTTTCGTTAATGTGTAGTACCATTTTATAAATTCAAAATGTTTACAGTTTATACTTTTTAGAACAAAGGAAACTACGTGACTATTAGTCAAATTATACTATTATTATTATATGTAAATTATATATATATATTTATTCTTTGTTTTATTGGAAGCATTTGCATGTGTTCCTCGAGTGCACAAACGTAAAAAAAAATTAGAAAAAATTAAATGAATGTTATCTAACTATGTGCAGTTTTATGGTGCATCATTTATAAGACATACAATTTGAAATTTTTACAAGCGAACAAAGTTAAATAGGGGGAAAATATTTATAAAAAACACAATAAAAGTCGTGTATTTATTTAAATTAAAGTCGAAAATAAGAATTAAAAAAATAAAAAAAAACATTTTTAGAGCTGAAGCAAAGTATATGAATTTTTACTAAATAACAATTTCTACTTTTGCCACCATTTTTTGCCTTCAACAAAGGCAATTATATATCTATATATCAGATGGGACCAGGACTCCCCTAAGCATACATACATATATATAAATTTAAAAAAATTATTAAACATTTTTTTATTTTAATTCTAAAAAAAATCTGTACTTTTGTTAAAGCAGCAACATTAATTTGATTAATTTTTTAAAAATTTCGTTCGGGGGAGACAAAGCTCAAGACTGTTGCAACAGTCAACTTTTGATAAATAATATAAAAAGAATAATAATAAAGAAACTAATAATAATTTTTTAAAAATAAAATCTTATGCAAATATGCCTCTATATATATATATAAAAATTAAAAAAAAATGTGACATTATTCTTTTAAAAAATTAAATTAAAAGAATAATAAATACCGAGCTTTTTAATTCTATCAAAGTTGCACTAGTTGATATATAAAAGAAATCATAATAATAATAATAATTTGTACATTTTTGTAGTGTTTATTGTGTGACGTCTCCATAAAATATTTATTGTATTTAAACTATGGAAAAAAAACACTATATATATATAAATGGTAATTTTGAAAATTGTACAAATGATTATTATAAGAAAATTACATATAAATATTTAGTTCTTGTTATTTAAATAAATATTTACATTTTGTGATGTGCCAAGTTATAATTAAGAGAGAAAAAATGTGTCAAAATAATGGAAAAAATTCTAAAATATACTTGTAATTACTTTAAAAATGGACGAATTTTGTTGTGTTTTTAGAATAATTCTTCTTTGTTGGTGTATTTTATTATTAATTCTTTTAATAGAAGATTTAATTTCTTAATAAATCCAAGTTTGTGGATAGAACAATTATTTGAATGGTAATTAAAAAGAATGTATATATATAAATTGAAAATTTATAGAAATTGTTCCCAAACGTCGAATTCAGTAACTGAAAACTAACAATTGGAATGGTTTTTTGATGGTATTTTTTGATCTACTGGGATAGAATTTAGACAATAGATTGTGTTGTTCGTTCTCGTTCATCTCTAGAGAAAAGGGGAGGAAGTTGAACAACAATATTATTGTTACGAAACATTCAAGATCCTCTAAGGAACCCATTATCTAAAGTCGACCAAGAAGCACTGATTAATTTGGAAAATTTAATTATAAGATACTGAAAACGATTTACAAAAATTTAATTTTAAATCGTAAACAAATTAAGAATAAAAAATTATATATATGTGTGTGTGTGCGTGCGTGCCTGTGAGTGTGTATGTCGAATTCTCTAATCAAAGAAAAAAAAATGTGTTCTAAAGAAGAAGAAATAAATAATTTCCCATAGAGAATTTTATTGATGAAAATCTAATTCGTGTATGCTACTGTATGATGTTTATATACAGTGCAAGTCCACAAACTAATGCTGTTTGTTTTTAGGGTGTACATAATGTATAAAAAAATAACGTACTGTATTCGTGTGTAATTAGTTTACACAACGAACCGGTGTGTTAAAATAACAATAATAAAAAAAAATTACAACACATATGTAGATATTATTATTTTACTATTGTATATTGGGTTAATAACCAGAAAAAAATTCAGAATTATACACAAAAATATGGACAGAAACACATTTTAAATAATAAAAAACATAAAATTACAAGCGAAAATTAAAAATATAAAACATCAAATTTAAGTAGTTTGGATGAATTTTAATTAAATAGGAGCCTTTTTTTGTCAAGAGAATCCAGAAAAAATAATTTTAAAGATTAATATTTTTAAAAAATTAAATTTTTTTTTAGAATTAATTTACAAAATAACTTTAATTATAATTTTAAGAAAATTATTTATTAAAATTAGAAAGATAATTAAAAGTTTATTCAATTTTTAGGGGATTATAGGTTAAAAGGATACTTAAAATGTGTGGATTTAAATAAAAATACTGTATTTAGAAAAGAAACAAATACATAAATGACTCTAAATAAAAAATACGATAAAAATCACAAAAAAATTCAAATAATCGTGTATAAATTCTTTGATCAAATAACAGTAATACTTTATTATTTTATTCTATTTTCTGATAAAAAGATAACTAAATATAAAAATTCAATTTTTAAAATAGATTTGAATAAAAACCCAACAGAGAAGGACTCATTTTTCGAATGTAAAAAAGTTCACGTAGGCGAGAAAAATATTTAATTTAATAAAAATATGTCTTACTCGTACTTTTATTAATAAATTGCTTTTTGAAAAAATTTATTAAATATATATATTTAATTAAAAAGATTTTTAGAGAAATTTTTTTATGTCGTGGCATAAAATTCAAAAAATTAACTTTTTAAAATTAATTTAATTAATTCTTCTTCCCCCCCTTTTAAAGGATGAATCATACATTTTAAAGAATTGAAGTTACTTTCTTCCCCACGATATTTTTATTACTGACGTAGAATTACAGTTAAGAAGGACACAACTCGTAAAAGTTGCAGTTAAAAAAAATACATTTTTATACTTTAAATTTGATAATAAAAGTAAAATTCTGTAAGAGTTGTTTGTTTATAAATGGATCTTTATTACCTTACTAGTACAGATGCTAACATGATTTAGTAGTCATTTATTAAAATGTCTTTTCCATTCTCTACTTGGTCTCGTACTTTGATATAAAATTTATACGGTTATTAATAAATAAATAAAAAATATTATCCACAAAATAATGAAATTTTGTTATAATATCTCGACTAAAGTAATTAGTTTAAACATAATTTTTAAAAAAATATTAACTTTATCGATTTTTCTGGCGTATATCCCACAAAATTAGAATTTTTATAACACGTTAAAATTACAGTAAGTGGCATAAAAATTAAGATTTTTAAATAATTCTCCCGGATTTAGGTTAATTTTCAAAAGGATAGAGAGAACTAAAATGCAGGGAAGTATTCAAAATAATGAGGAATGTAAGGAAATAACTGAAAGGGGGGAAAACTACGATATAGACGACCCAGAAAAATTAAAATGTAAGGAAATATCGTTAAAAGATAGAGAGAAAAATAATTTATCAGTAAATTTTGTATACGTTACAGGAGAATTTCTCTAAATGAAAGCATCTTAATTATTTAATTAAGATACAGATTATTTACTTTTCTATTTTGGTTTAATCTAAGTTAAAAATATTATTTTAGCTTACTTCTAATAATATCGTGTTTTAAAAAGTTAACTCTAATCTAATAGAAATACGTGTATAATAACAGCAGTAAAGTTAACCCAGGTTTTTCAACAATTACAATGCTAACATAGTTACTATTTTAATTACAAATATCTTTTATTCGCTTAAAATAGGTTAATTAATATACGTTTTTAATAAGTCTCCATTATAAAAAAAAATGGGAAGAAATCGTTACGAGAGAGAACTTTCCAAAACTATTCCAATAAATCGCGACAATTCCTATCGGTTTAAGAAGCACATTATTAAAATTTTTATGAATTTATTAATCCTACCCATTAAATATAAACTCACGTTTTTCTAATCCTTTAATCTTGCAGATGTGCCACGTAATAAGGAAAAAAGTAAGTTATAAAAAGGTAAACTCTCTGTCTTTATCCACTAAGCCGATATAAGATTGCTTTAACATTTTACTAAATTGAAAACTGATCCCCCTCAACATTAAGATAAAAGTCTGAAAAGTTCTTTATTTAGAATATTAAAAAATAAAACTGGTTACACTTCTTTAAAACNTAAATATTTCCAAAAATTAGCTTAAAATTTGGCTTATCTTCATAAATCCTCCAATAATTAACTGAAAATTTAGTTGTTGGGAGTTCAAGTGGAATCAATAACTAAGTTTTCGAGGACTATTCATTTGAAGGATAAAATGCACTTCAATATTAAGGGAGTCGTTGGGGTCTTGTTGATTCTTTAAAATTACTCCTTAATGCTTACATCATTTCCAGAAGTCAGAAGGGCATGAAATGGATCTGTGGGAATCCCCCGAGATTTTTAATTTCTGAAAAAGTATTAGAATTATTGAAAAAAAGCTAAGAGCTCGATGCAATTAAATAGTTCCTAAACTTAACTCTAATATTAATCGATGCATTGCAGCAATAAATAATTCTATTAATTATTTAGTGCGAGTATTTCGTATATTCAGTCGATTTAAAGTTGTTAATATATTCGATGGACACAATTTTATTTATTACCGAAACTCGTTAATTAATATTAGAGTTAATTTTACGAATAAAATTTATTAATTTTTCAAGTTCTAGATTTTTTTCCTTTTTCTAGAATATTCATTATTAGAAATGTAAATAAAAATTCCGATTGTTGAAATGTACAGTTTTATAAAATTGTATATTTCAACAATCGAAATTTTTATTTATATTTATAATAATGAATATTCTAGAAAAATTCTAGAATATAAAAAAATTAATTCGAAAGTTCTGTGAAATTGTTTATTTCAATAACTGAGGTTTTGTATTTGTGTTCCATATCTTCTGTACTGTTATAAAGTAACTTATATATTATAAATAGATAGAAAAAAATATTTTATTTCTTCTTCTTATTATTATTATATAAGAAAATGACGAGTTCTTTGTAAACAATATCAACACTAATGAGAAACTGAAGCAAAAGATAAATAAAATAAAAACTTACGAAACAACTAAGAAAGCAAATAAAGAAATCTATAACAATAAAAAGAAGGAAAGAAAAATTTCTGTTAAAGACTGATACGAATGCTGTTTTATAGACTACATTTGCAGTATTTTTTATGTTAGAAAAGTTAATTTTCTAGCGAGATACTTCTATCATACAAAGCTTAAATTCGCCTGATTTTGACGTGGCTAATAAATTGTCATTTCTATTGTACTTTGAAGTAAAATTATAGTTTCATTTTAAAGGAAACCGTTTTTGTTTCATTTTTCACTTCATACTTTATATATTTTTTATATATTTTTTTTAAATTTTAAAACAAGGAAATGACATTCTTACGTCTTTAGAAAGAAGTTGAACAACAAAAGAAGTAAATGATGTGATTATTCTTTATAAATATGAAAAAGAAAAACGATTTTTTAACTGATTTGAAATGCTATTAAAGAATAATTATCTTCTTAAATCTAATTTTACATACAAAAAAATGATATTTAAGTAGATAATTTTGCATGATAAGTAGATAGATTTATGTATATGTAAGTGTGTTAAATAAGTAGTTTTGTTTTAGTCTGACTGTTAACCTTAATTTACGATACTATTTTAATTAAATTTCTTTCCATAATGGCGTTGTTTTCTAATTGATTTAGTTTAAAAGTGAGTCTTTTTTTTAGTCAGAAATATATCGAATATAAAAATTAATCTTTTGTCTTTCATCAAAAATTTTATCAAGTGAAATTTGGAGGGAGGAGGATGATCAAATATGTCTGGATATCTGGACGATTCACTGCAATAAGTCACGTATGAAGTATTGAACGATGAATGCGTCGTCTCTTCTTTCTATCGATAAGGAAAAACGCTCGAAAGAACAAGCAGAATAAGAAGGAAGAGGGAAGATTCCTGTAAAATAAAAAAAGTAGAAATATAAAGAGACGAATAGGAAGTAAAATAAAATAAAAAAATTCGATATTTGGAAAAGAAGTTAGTAACACAGTACGAAAGAACACGAAGAAAAGGAGACAGAAAATTAAAAAAATACACACACACACATATATATAAAATGGAAGGGATTGTTTAGTAAATTGGCAGATATTCTTTTCTTCCGTACAAACTCTATAGTTTATTCTAATCAATTATAGTTAAAAAAATTCAAAGTTCCTTCAAATTTCTGGCTTAAGCTCTTTATTAAAGGTCTAAAATCGGATTAGTTTATCTAAAATAAGTCTTTTACATATGTTTATGCTGCTGCAACAACAATCATTAGAACAAAAATGCTTTAGGTTGTAAATTCTGATACAAATTATTACAATAAAACTAACTGTATTTTCATACCACAATTTACATATTATTAAAGAAAGTTAAAGTGTACAAATTATTTTCAACAGTGAATAAAAACGTGGCTTTCAACTTGAAAAATCAAAAAGCCTAAATTATAATTGGTACTCATTGATTTAAAACTAAATTTAGCTTTAATTATGATATTTTTACTCATTTCGCATTTAACATACCATTCCTAAAACAATTTTATAAATTACTTACTAAAATTCAACATATTACTTAGAAGAATAGCAAAAATGTAACCATAAATATTTCCAAAAATTAGCTTAAAATTTGGCTTATCTTCATAAATCCTCCAATAATTAACTGAAAATTTAGTTGTTGGGAGTTCAAGTGGAATCAATAACTAAGTTTTCGAGGACTATTCATTTGAAGGATAAAATGCACTTCAATATTAAGGGAGTCGTTGGGGTCTTGTTGATTCTTTAAAATTACTCCTTAATGCTTACATCATTTCCAGAAGTCAGAAGGGCATGAAATGGATCTGTGGGAATCCCCCGAGATTTTTAATTTCTGAAAAAGTATTAGAATTATTGAAAAAAAGCTAAGAGCTCGATGCAATTAAATAGTTCCTAAACTTAACTCTAACATTAATCGATGCATTGCAGCAATAAATAATTCTATTAATTATTTAGTGCGAGTATTTCGTATATTCAGTCGATTTAAAGTTGTTAATATATTCGATGGACACAATTTTATTTATTACCGAAACTCGTTAATTAATATTAGAGTTAATTTTACGAATAAAATTTATTAATTTTTCAAGTTCATTTTAGTGTCCAAAATGAATTAACAATATTATTAATTAATTTAGCATGTGAGTAAAACTTGTTAAAACATACTTGCACTCAACAATGTCCTAAAACAGGTTAACAGATTTGGCAACAATTTCAATAGAACACCAGCAAGCTGCTACACTAGATTTAAAGGAACTAGTAGAAAATTTTGCAAAATTGAAGAAAAGAAAAATTAAAATTTGATTTTCTTATATTATATATATTGTATATATTATTTTGTACATTATTAATAAAGCATGCCAAAATAATTTTTTTTTCACATTTAAAATTCCATTTAAAAAAGTATCCCATTTGTAAAATAAGGGACAAACTTGTAAACTTTGTCTGAGGCACAAAATAACCTGACACCAGTACTGAATACTCCTTGTAAGACTAGAGCTGTCAACTTTTTAAAGTAATTTTGTATTTTTTTATGCTTCTGACAATAGACCTGAGGTAAGTAAATGTTGCACAAGTATACCATACTATAATAATTGTAAACAAAGCTACTTTAATATTTTGCAGTATCCATCTACTCGGAAATACAAGAACTTTTCAATTTAAATCTATTTTGAATAACATTATGTATTTACAAAATTATATAGAACAATTTACATGGACACAAAGGACATTTTAAGCAGTTCAATTGCCATATACTAAAAAAATTTTTTTTAAATATAAAATAAAGCTTCAGTTTGTATATGTTGATAACACAGAAATGGTAAACAAACAGCNGTTATTGTCCAGTTAAAAAAATTATTAATGTAGTCTATATATAAATATATATTTTAAATATGAAAATTAAAAAAAATATTAAAAATTTAATTGTTTGAAATGTAAAAAAAATTGTTAATTTTAGAAAAATAAATTTAAACATTGAAATTGATTAATTATTCAATAAATGGCACGTGCCGAAACTGACGAATTGTTTAAAAAAGTCACGTTCGGTTTATTGTCAATTTCAGTTTCGTTTATTTAAAAATTTGTAATTGACAAATTAAAATGGAATGTTTACGCATCGATTACAACACGTGTTCGTTTAAGTTTTCGAAATTGATTTTTTTTACATTTAATTAAAGGCAAACAATTAATTCATTTTAAAATGTATCTTTTGTAACAGATTTATTTTAAATATATAAATAAATAAAGTGAATTTTTAAAAAAATTGTTTTGAAAATGATAAAGAGAATTTAAAAATATATATATTTATATTAAATAAAACTTTTAATAAGCTTTTAAAATAAACTTTAAATCATCGTTTTAAAAAGTCATTATTGAATTTTATTAAAAATTAGCAGGTTGCTGGGGCAAAAATAACAACGGCAAAGATTAAGATTATTAGATTATTTCGTACTTCTAACCATTCTATTATATTATTTCTTTTATATTTACAAGAGTTTATCACATCGAGTACCTAATCAAAGAATTTTTAAAATGCGTTTGGGATCTCGGGGTGATAAATCCTTACGTAAGATGACCTTTGTATAGCCGATCTTACCCGTTTTCACCGGGTCTTCCGAGACTAATTAGAGAATTTTTGGATGGTCTAAAAATATGTTCGATTTTCCACAAAAACGCAATAAACCGCGTGTAATGTAGTACAATAGAAGCCGAGTACTTTAACTCTCTCCCTCTCCCCCGCTGGATGGAATTTCCAACAATCCCTTCTTAGCGTGCATTCTCGTGACGTACCATAACTGTGTACCAAACTTCAACTTTCAACTCCTAATCGTTTGGGCTCTACGATTATTATTATTATCATCATCAACCCATCTCGATTATATTATAAGATTATTAAATATTTTATTTTATCGATGAAATTTAATTATTTTTAAGAAAATATGAAATAGAAAATGCTTATTTTAATGCTAATTTGAAAAATTTTTTTGCAGTGAGTTTTCAGTTTTGCTGCAAGTGCAACAAACAACTTAAAACACNGTGGCTATTAAGAACAAGTTCTTGTCCAGTCTCTGTAGCCATTCCTCAGTAAATTGCATTATTGTCTAGATCAGTGTTTTTCAAACTTTTCTCACATGACCCAATGTATTTCTTTGTAATGGTTCTGCAACCCAAATGTTTATAAAATTTTTTAAAAACCTGGTTAACTGGAATTATTGTATATTATGTAACAAAATAAAATTATACATTATTGGGCTGCAATTTGAAAAAATTGTAGACCTATAAATTCCCTCTGTTGTCTGTCTCTCTCTTTCCTTAATCTCGAACGAAGTTAGAGAGATGAAAATCAAGACCAGTGTCAAGAGGCCCCGATTGACCATATACAAACTTCTGATGTAAACCAGAGATCACATTATTTCAATTCAAAAATTTTCCCTGAAAGGAATTAGATAGATGAACAGCATGATTCAATCACTAAAGGAAAAGTATGATTTACAGGTTCAAGACACCAAAAAAGTGCCATGTTATGCAAGTCCTTGCTATATGAAACAAAGGATTAGTACAAAACATAAGGTTATGTTCCAAAAGTTAGCAAAAGTATAATATTCTATTTCATAATTAAGAAAAATATGTTTATTAAAGTAATCAATAATTTACTAACAATTGCATCAAAAGTATTGCATGTTAATATTAATTTTTTCATCATTGATAAACACTATTATACAAAGTTACTATTGTTCTTAATCTGAAGTATCAACATCATGATTTTTCTCTGCTTTTTTCATAAAATCTGATATTTTCATTTGCTTGCATTTGCCTAAGAGATCTTTAAAAATTTAATCTTTTTATGTTGTAACTTTTATTTTAATTTAATCTATAAAAACAAAATACAACAACAGTCTTTTGGGTTCATTTAGAACACTATCACTAATAACAGCAACACAGTTTATAAGAAACTAGAATTGGAGGCTAGAACAAGGAATAAAAATTGTAGTCACTTCTCATTAAAGTAAACTGGACAAAAGGTATGAAACAACATTGAAAATTTCAATATTCTAAAATCCATGGGCAAATATGAGTCAATATGCATGCTTTCTTGAATGAAAAAATATCAAATGACAGTTTTGTACTTAAAATTTGACATTTTATGTAGGGATTTCCCCAATTCCTGAATCTTAGAACAAAACTATGTTGTAGGAATGTCATGTACAAGGGATACCTGTAGTACAGTCGATGCCCCCATAACACTGTTGATAATTCCGTTTTAGATAAATTCCATGTTGTGTGAGTCACTTAGATTTTACAAATGTGTGTGCCGGGCTGTGAATGGCTCATGTATTTGTAAAATCTAAGTGACTCGTACATAATGGAATTCATATAAAACAGAATTATCAACAGTGTTATAGGGGGGTCGACTGTATATACAAGAAATATAGTATTTTTTTGTAAGGAACTATATTAATGCAATATATATGTATTAATATAGATATATATTTTTTAAATTTTTGTATAGAAATAGGAGCTTATTTAGTTTTTATACTTTATTAATAAAATGAAATACTATTGTGATATACTATTAATATAATATGCTATTCTATTATGTTTGTTGTATTAAAGTGGCTCTGTGGCTTTGAAATTGATCTGAAAACTGGTTAACTGATTTCAAAAATTTCCAGTTTCTAGCTCAAATACATAATTCCAATGACAGATATTTTTACAAAAAAAATATCTGTCATTGGAATATAGACTGTATGGCTTTCCCCTAGAAATGGTCAAATTCGTAATTAATATTTTATGATAATGTGCAATTTTCAGCTCCTTAGCTGCATACATTATAACAATTTTATTATTTAAATCTCATTTCATCACTTATAATTTTTATTTTACTGAATTAAGATTACTTTTACAACACATTAAAGCATTTCAGTAATGCAATAAAGTTTATAGTTTGACTTAGCAAAGATATAAATATCTACATTTTAATATAATTATTAGTTGTTTTTTTAATGTTTTAAATTTACAATGTTTGAATTATTTTAAATTTAAGATATTATATGATGACTTTTATGATGTTTTTTCTAAAATGTTTTTTTTTTGGTAGGTAGAAAATTTAGTTGCTATTGAATTATCATATATAAATACTAAGCATCCAGATTTTCATGATGCTGCTTTCATTTGTTCAAATAAAGCAGATGTATTTGATAACAGGAAAATAGCTAATAAAAAGACAGAAAATATTTCAAATCCAAGTGCTCAGTATGTTACAAATCTAAATGTTGCAGATTCTACAACTGAGAAAGTAGTGAACAAAGTAAGTGATGCTATATTTTTAATATTATATAATATATATATGTATGTATATATAGGGTGTGTCATATGTAGTATATAATGGAAAATTTACATGTGGTCAGTCAGATTAACCATTAGTCACTCATTGACTGATCAAGAAGTCCAATGAGTCTAATAGCAATCACACAGTAATAATGTATTAGGCTTACATTCTGTTCTATGATTGTGGGAGTTATCAGGAGCCTGAAAACACAATTATACTAATTCACAGAATTCGACAAATAACATTTGGCCTCTTTGTTTAATTAATTAATTAAATAATGTGGCTATTAAGAACAAGTTCTTGTCCAGTCTCTGTAGCCATTCCTCAGTAAATTGCATTATTGTCTAGATCAGTGTTTTTCAAACTTTTCTCACATGACCCAATGTATTTCTTTGTAATGGTTCTGCAACCCAAATGTTTATAAAATTTTTTAAAAACCTGGTTAACTGGAATTATTGTATATTATGTAACAANAATTATATAAAAAAACATGTAAAATATTTTTTCAATATAATTCTAATAAATTACTGAATTCCAATACATGAAAAGAATAAAAAAAGTTAATCATCATCATCATCAAAATATTTGAAAATGAATATTTGAAAAAAAAAGACAGAAACTTAATCCAGTAATTATTAAAAAATTTAACACTTTCCTTTCTTGACATATTTGCAAATAAAGTTTTGAATATATTATGTTTCTTATAAATACAATAAAATCTGCCTAAACATAAAAAACTTCGGAAGAGAGCAATTTTCTATTATATTTTATTATATGCTGGAAACCTGTTTAATGCTGAAACAGAAGAGAGTTTTGAGCACAAGAAATATAATTTAATCTAAATGAGCAATTAGGCATTGTGACATTGTCACAATGCCAGGCTGCAATTTTTGCACAATGAACAATAAAATAATTGCTCATTGATAATAACTTGTGTAAAATGTAGAAGTTTTACTCAATGTTACAACATTGAATACATTTCTATTAAGAGCAGTTCAGGGCAGTATTGATTTGTAACAAATAACTTATTTCAATTTCAGTTGTTATTGAAATTTAACTATTAAAAAATTTAAGGCTGACAATTGAAAATAAAATAATCGTTTCAAAATTATTCAGGGTTCTGTTTACTTTATAAAAAAAAAAGTTGTAATATTTTTCTCTTAATGTACCCTTTTTAAAATGTACTTTTCAGATTGGAAAATATTTGTCAATTTCATTTTGTATGTACACAAAAAAAAAATCATTTATTGATCCACTTGTATCAAAATTCATCCATTATTAATTTTTTATAATTTATTATTTACAGCAATAAACCTAAAAGTTTGAATAAATAAAGAAATATTTTCAAAACCATTGCAACTCAAACGGCTTTATGACTATGACCTTACATAAAATATCTATTTTTATGTTATTCAAAATAGAAAAAAAAGAACCATTTCATTTACACACATTCAATTTACACACATCTTAATTTTATTACTAAATGATGACAATAATTATAAGAAGAAGTTTGTTAAAAGTATTCACACACATCTATTCTTAGTTCGTAGAGAATATTTCAGTAATACAAGTATTACAAATATTTCTGCAGAAAGTGGTATTACTTTGCAACTCATTAAAATTTTAATGTGACCATAGTTTGAGAAATGCTAATCTAGACCGTTCAAAGATGTTTATTTGTCAAGCATGATAACACTGCATTTTTAGTTCCTTCATGATATGTTGAATAGATGATTTGGCTATGTCTAATGAATGTGACAATTTTCTAACAGAGTTTTAGGTAAAGTCACTATTGATTCAAAATACATCTTGTTCTTGATTCATTGTTGACAACAATTCTAGAGCCTTGATGCTCAGATTGTCCCCATTTTATTGAACTATTTATTTAAGCATGCAATTGTTCTCATTTGATGAACTTTTTCAAAATTCTGCATGTATTTGCTGCTGCATATCAACAATGCTTCCAGTTTTTGAGAATAATTGGGCTGTAATTTGAAAAAAATTGTAGACCTATAAATTCCCACTATTGTCAGTCTCTGTCCTTCCTTAATTTTGAGAATGGAGTTAGATAGATGAAAGTTGAGGCCAGATATGGAATTCTTAGTGACGAGGCCCCAATTAACTATATACAAACTTCCAATTTTCACTGGAAGTCATTGTACATATTTCACTTTCTCTTTGAGACAAATTGTGTGATATCATATTTCTGTTGCTATGTGTTACATGATTATTCTATATCAGGGCTTCTTAAACTTTTTTTATTCACGACCCCATTTATGATTGTTATTTATTTCGCAACCCAAAAAATATAAAATAAAGATATATATAAATTTGCAAAAACAATAATGGTGTACTACCACACTTCACTCTTGTGTTACAATGGAACAGAGACAACTGAATACACTGAAAAGCAACAACACTAAACTAGTTCACACTACAGTGTTGCTGAATTGTTGTCTCGCTGCACCAGAAGTGACACAAAGCACAACTCACATAACCTATGACACAAAGCTTGCCATTTTCAAACTCTCACAAATTATTTTCAATATTTTGCATTAAAATCTTGCAACCCCAAGATTTTGCTAAGCAACCCAAAATGGGGTTGTGACACACAGTTTAAGAAGCCCTGTTCTATATTATCTGCTAAAGGATTTTAAATAGTAGATATCTACTATTTAAAAAAAAGCACATAGAAAACAAATTTTTAAAATTAAGATATTTTTAAAACTATACACTGTATATATAAAAAATGGTCTGTTTGGGATGTCATAAAATTAAAAATATGTAGAAAATAATGCAGTTAGTCTACTAAATGTAACACCTATATGTTGACAGGTTTCAGTTTCAGGATGGTGCATGTTCATTTTGGTGCTCTTCCATGTGGTGGCACATGCAAATGTGAAATGATGGCCATGCCACAGCAGAAGACTAGTGCTTACTATGATATGAACAGTGGGAGTGTGTTACTCATGTCTAGTTAGAGATCCAGTGAATTTAACTGTAACCATTCTCTGTCACATCAGGACATTGTGAAGTGCAGGAGACTTGCACTTCACAATGGTACTAGAAGTTCATGCAAGTGGGTCTGACTTTGCCTCATGCCAGAGGAAGAATGTATGATGGGCAGAGTTTGGCAGACCATGATTCAGAGTGTAAAGAAGTCTCTGTACCATTTGTCAGTGGAACATTATATTCTGTACAGCATGTGTCAGAGGATTGTGCATCAGTACTTGAAAATGTTTGCATACATGCAATGACTGCAAGCATTGCAATAACATAGTCATGCATCCATCTGGTATGCCATTTGCCATGGCAACCATGTTAAGTGCTGAGTTTCTTTTTAAACAGAAACTAACAACTTTCTTTACATGCATTACTTCATTTTTTACACATGCTTAATTTTATGACATCCCAAATGGATTACCCTGTATGTGTATAATTTATTTACTTACACTTTTTATAATAATCTAAACTTTCTCAGCCATCTAGTATTCAACGTCTTTCTGGATTAAATGCAAATGACCCTAATATGACCTCTGGGTGGATATCAAATTTCATGCCTGCAAGCATGGGTACAAAACCTGAAGTCAATAATAAATCAGAAAGTGCAAGCAGTACACCTATTCATGATAAATCTTTAAGTCCTGTCAAAGCAGTTAATTTATTACCAGAAGTAGTAAGTTTGTGCTTTTGTACATTCAAAAAAAATACTTTAAGATTTCCTATTAATTTAATATTAATTTATTTTCAATAGTTAAGAAAATGTTCTGAAAAATTACCCTTTATCAATTCTTTTTAATTAATCAATGTTAAATACTAAAAGTTAAATTACAGTAGAGCGGCAATTATCCGAATCAATTGGGGACTGGGTGTGAGATTAGCCAAGGATACTAACCAAGAGTACCACTTACACGACTTAGAATTGCGAGATTTGATCTCTAATCTTTTTCTAGGAGGGCTGTTAATTATATTTAAAACGATCTGGACAGTGAAGTCTAGATCTACATCAGGATTCCTTGACACCAGTTAATCAGTTATTTTAAACGCGGATTAACACACATTATCCTTAAACTCGGGATTCGAAGGAACTAAGGAAACTTGAATGAAAATGAATGTCTATTAAGAATCAAACCATTTTATAAACAAAACAAAATATTTAATAAATCAAATAATAAAAATATACAACGATGAATGTAACCTATATCTAAATCTAACTTAAACTATCTTATTTCTACCTAATGCATGAGAGAGTTTACATCGATCTATTCAGAGTTTATATTACCTTCACCGTATTTTTCGTATCTGTTTCTGTATGAGGATCTTCTTCTTTCTTTATTTATATTCTTCTCCTTTGACAATCCTTTCGTATATTTATACTTCAATTAATCGGTCTAGCCTGGCCTTGTCAGTCTTGTATGACAATCACTTGTATCGTATTCACTTTATATGGCAATACCACTTCCTATTGGGCTGCCTCTTAACGTATTTCAGCTTCTTCGTATGACAAACCTTGTTTGACGGACTGCTTCTGTTGTATGGCTAGTTCTCTTCTTCAGTATGGCAAACCTCTTTTCGTCGGACTGCCTATATCGTATGGTGGACTTCTTGCATGGCAATATCTCGTTTCGATGGACTGCCTCAACTGGCAGGAAAACGGTGCTTTTATTTGGTCTTCCGTAATGTGTGCAAAAACTCAACTCATCCTGAGTTAGCCTGGGAAAGGAAATCAACTTCCTTTCAAAAATTCTGATGTTTCCTCCAGTTTTAGATAAAATCTTGTTGAAGTTTCAAATATTATTTTCTATTATTTTAATTCTTTTCTCTACTCTGTATTTTGATTAAAATGATCCTCCCCTGAATGTTTCAGATCTCACACTGGGGTTGTTTGGAAAATCGATTTTTCGGATAACCGATTATGTACGAAAAATACATTATTAATATAGTATATTAGTATATC